ATGTTGCGTGCTTGTGTGATTGACTTCGGTGGTTCTTGGGAGGATTTCTTACCGCTTGTAGAGTTTGCTTACAATAATAGCTACCAGTCTAGTATTCAGATGGCGCCATATGAGGCTTTATATGGGAGACGGTGTAGATCTCCAGTCGGTTGGTTCGAGCCCGGCGAGGCTAGATTATTGGGTACAGATGTGGTCCAGGATGCTTCGGAGAAAGTGAAGTTGATTCAGGAGCGGCTTCGTACAGCTCAGTCGCGTCAGAAGAGTTATGCGGATCGGAGAGTCCTAGATCTATCATTCATGGTTGTCGAGAAGGTTGTACTGAAGGTTTCCCCTATGAAAGGCATTCTGAGGTTTGGAAAGAAAGGGAAATTGAGTCCTCGTTTCATTGGCCCTTTTGAGGTACTCAGCAGGATTGGAGAGGTGGCCTATGAGCTTGCATTTCCACCCAGATTGTTGGGAGTTCACACGGTGTTTCATGTTTCCATGCTCCGGAAGTATGTTGGAGACCCGTCCCATGTTTTGGACTTCAGCTCAGTCCAGTTGGATGATGACTTGACTTATGATGTGGAGCCAGACGCTATTTTGGGTCGTCAGGTTAGAAAGTTGAGGTCTAAGGATATAGCATCGGTGAGAGTTCAGTGGAGAGGTCGTCCCATCGAGGTGGCCACTTGGGAGACCGAGCAGGAAATGCAAAGCAGATATCCCCACTTGTTTACGGCTTCAGGTATGTTTCTTAACCCGCTCGAGGACGAGTGTTTGTTTTAGTTGGGGAGGATGTTATGACCCGACTCGTCATTTCTTGTGTTTCAGCCCGATATCCCCGTTATATGTTTCCCTATGCGTTGATATGCGTGCTCGGTGAGTTTGAAGTGGTTTGAGTGAGAATTTGGTTAGAAATGAGACAAATAGTCTCCTTAAGAAAAGCTTAAGTTGGAAAAGTCAACCCAACGTTGAATTATAAGTTAGAGGGCTCGAAACGGATTTCCGATGGCTCAACTAGTTACGGGGGATGATTTGTGACCTAGGAGTAAAAGCGGAAGTGAATTCGGAGGTCCGGAGTGAAAGTTAGCTAGGTTTGGCGAAGTTGGAATTTCGGAAGAATCCAGTTGATAGGTGAGAATTTGACCCGAGGGTCGGAATAGAATTTCGGAAGTTGCATTAGCTTCGTTAGGTGATTTTGGGTATGTCTGCAAATTTTCAGGTCGTTTGGGCGTCGTTTGGTTGGTTTCGATGTCGGTTATGGTTTTGTTAAGTTCATGCTTGTCTTAGAGTTGAATTTGTGGATTTTTGGTGATTTTGATGTTTAAGTTAGCGTCCTTAAGGTCCGAGCAAGTTTGAATGAGGTATTAGAGCATATTGGTGCTTTTGGTTGAGGTCTCGAGGGCCTCGGGGTGATTTCGGATGCTTGACGGGCTTTTTGGTTTTGGAAAAGCTGCTGAAATGCAGCAGAAATTGCAGAAGAGTTTTGTGCATCGCGGTCGCGAGCCTATGGATGCGGTCGCATAGAGGAACTGGAGGGAGCTCGGATCTTTGTTCTACGCGATCGCGTGAAGCGGTCTGCGATCGTGTAGGCTCAGGCGTTTGTGCAGTGCGATCGCGTGAGGGAGGTCTGCGATCGCGTAAGGTTGGCGACAGTGTTCTGCCATCGTGTGGCCTTGACTGCGATCGTGTAAGAGGAATTAAGGGCCTGGAGATTTTTGTGCTACGCGATCGCGTGAGTTGGGCCGCGATCGCGTAGAAGGAAGCGGATCTGGGCAGAATGTTTTAAGTTATTAATTCATCCGCGAGCCTTAGCTTATTTCCACCATTTTTTAGCAACCTTGAGAGCTTTTTGGCGAGAATCAAAGAGGGTTTCGACTGGGATTGATTGGAGGTAAGTCTCTTGACCTTGAAACATCATTTTTATTGAAGAATCACCCATTAATTCTCTGAAAATTGGGCAAACTATTGAAGAACTAGGGCTTGGGTTTTGTAATGTAAATTGAGGATTTGGAGGAGCAATTGGACTCCGATTTTGATGAATTTTATATGTATAGACTCGTGGCGAGACTAGGGTCGTTTTGGTGTAAAGTTTTCTGGTTTTCGAGACGTGAGCCCGGGGCTAGGGTTTTGCCTTTTTCGTGAATTGTGATGTTTTTCGAGTTCTTTCAATTGGGTTATGACCCATTAGCCTTGTGTAACTTATTCGTTGTGGTTTTGGCCAGATTCGACGCTTGTAGAGGCGTATTTAAGGCAAAAGGGTGTTTCGAGTTAGTCTACGGCCGGCTAGAGGTGAGTAATATCAGCAAATGTTGTTCTGAGGGTTTGGAACCTCGGACTTTCACATCTTAATGCTATATTGAGGCGTGACATGCTCCATGATAAGTGTGAGGTCGGATATTGTTGGGAATTGAGACTTGGTCCATCCCGAGTGAGACTTATACTATATTGGCGTAGGATAGGAATACTGTGATGATTGTTATTGGGCTTTATGCCATGTTTGGGGCCTAGTGCCGACCTGTTGAGTCCTTCGGGAGTTGTTATTACTGTTTAGCATGACATGCATTTCATATACTATGAGTCCATGGTTTTCAAACATTGTTTCGAAACCCAGTCGTATTTCAAATGTTCAAAACTCACATATTATCTTTTAACTGTACTTCGGTTGAGGATCATTGTTCAAAATTGCCCAAGGGGCTTGTGACACATTTTTCTGGACTGATTTTGGGTGGCTCAGGTTGCGCGCCACAGCGGTGATTTAAAATAGTGGTAATTTGGACACTGTGTGATATGATCGGTCAGGTAACAGGGACTGACCTGATATTGATTTCACCACTAGATGGCTGGTATTGATTATTCTCCACGAGATGGCTGGTTATTGCGCTTGGGCTGTAGGAGCCCCTCCGGAGTCTGTATATATCCTCAGTGAGCGTCGTCGACGATAAATGATGTGGGCGGCTCGGGCTGCACGCCGCAGTGAGTACTGGATTGTACCATCATTTGCATTGCATTGCATCGCATCTCTGCATTGCATCATTTATATATTGTGTTTAGCTGCTTAGTTCAGATACTGTGATGCCCTGCTTTATAGTCTACTTTGTGTTATTCATGTATTTCTTATCTTCGGGACTTTATTTCCTGTTATTACTCACCGGGTCGGAGTCCTCACATTACTCCCTGCACCTTGTGTGCAGATCCAGGGCATACTCAGGCGGACTAGCTTCTGAGGTTCTCAGGCCACAGCATTGGAGTGTTGAGGTAGCTGCACGGCGTTCGCAGCCATCGACTCTCCCTCTATCCTTATTTCCGTTTTCATTGTACTCTCAGTTTGTGAACAGTTGTATCAGATTTTCATTATACTCTAGAGGCTCAGGCTTGTGACACCGGTTCCTAGGAGGCTTATTGTTGGTTATTCAGATTTCCGCAGCTTTAGTAGTTAAATCTCTTATCTTATTAAGTTATTGGTTGATTAAGTTCTTTTATTTTGGGAAATGTTGGTTTTGTGGTCGGGCTTACCTAGCCTCATGGCCGGACGTCATCGCGACCGGGATTTGGGTCATGACAGGGTTGCATGAAATGTGCACCCAAATTTGGGAATTATGTATCATGACTATGCCACGAAAACCGTACATATAGCCATGATGATTTATTTAAACGTGCCTAAAGCAAACTACGAATGTTTTTGAGATCTAAAGTTGTGGCATTTATTTAGGTTACAATGTGTATAATGAAATATCATTGAAACACTTTGTGAAGTAATTTGATTCTGTTACTATAAGGAACGCGTCACAGAACGGTCAAAATAGCACGGTATAGCCAGTTTTCGCACTGGTCAATCAAAAATAGCCAGCGTTTACCAAATCATTGAAAAATAGCCACTATTTTGCTGTAACAGAGACCGGTCCCGTATAATATACGGGAGCTCGGTGCATTTGTGTACGAACTCCAATATATTATGCGGGACCGGTATACTTTGCTGAATCCCGTATAATATACGGGAGAGTGGAGCACCAGTGCTCCAAACTTCAGTATATTATGCTGGACCGGTATACTTGTTGGAACTCCAGTATATTATGCGGGAGTTCCAGCATAATTATACTTGAACTCCCGCATATTATACGGGAGTTCCAGCTTAGTTATCCTGGAACTTCCGTATAATATGCGGGAGTTCAAGCATACTTATGCTGGAACTCCCGTATAATATGCGGGCGTATTTTCCGAATTTTGAATAGTATTTTCGCTCAGATTTATCTTTACATGAAAAGTGACTAGATTTCGATTACTTTTGAAACTGGACTATTTTTAAATGACCAAGTGTATATCTGCTATTTTTAAATTTCTCCCCACAGAACGAGTATAAGTTCTTATCAACAGTATCACTTTTTAATAGGCGTGGCTAAGCATCAATTCTGTTTTGGGCTTAATGAATTGACGTGGATACAAAACATGGATCAAGGTTTGGAAATGACGCTTTGGTACTAAAACGTTACTGGGCTGCATCAAAATTACACATTAATTTCATGAACTAACACTCAAGTAAAGCAGTAGCACCGTTTCCACTTTCCATTACATGCTCAACATTTTCTTTTTCTTTTTTAAGAAAAAAAGATGTAAACTTTGATTGAAGGAATAGGGTTGAAACACTTTTCATTATTGAATCAAGAAAAGATAATTTAAACCTAACAAACAACCTTCAGTAGTGATAAATCAATTTTAACCACATGAAACCAAACTTGCACATCTCATGGACACAGAAAGAGTAAGACTCGGATTTCAGAAGTTCGTTACCAAGCTAACAACATGAACTATTCAATACTACACATAACTGAATTTTAGTTGAAGACAACACAGATTCCCAGCACCTTTTACTATTTATTAAATTCTTGACGAGCAGAGGTGTGAACCAAGGGCTCATTACATGACAACAACAACAATCCTCCAATATAATTCCACAAGTGGGGTCTGAAAAAGGCATCATATACACAGTCTTACCCCTACCCTGGAAGGAAAGAGGGAGTGTTTCCGATATACCCTCGACTAAAGAAAGTGAAAGAAGCCCTGAGAGATTAAACAGACAAAAATAGATTACATGACAAAGAAGCCCTGATAGATTACATGACAAAAATAGCTCATAAATTATGAGATATCACAAATTAAAAAGTACACGAAGTTAGTCCTCTAAGGACACATACAGATCAACAAGGTAGCTGCTCCAACTCCTTTTTACTATCAACAGGTAGTTCAGGAGCACAATACGTCTTGTATCTATAGAAACATAAAACAAAGCAGAAGCTCAAAGCCAAAGCTCTAACTAACAATCCTACGTACAGCATGTAAGCAAGAACCTGTATGACTATTCCCAGCAATACGTCTATTCCCCCGATATCATATGCGAAGTGCAAGAAGTGGGCAAAGGTGTAAAAATATGTGGTACAGCATAGCAGTAGAGCGAGATACCCATAATTGAACTCCAAAAGGTGATGCAAGGCTGCTGCAGTTATCATGGGAATGACCTCAATCATAAATTTCGCCTTGGCACCAATTAACCGGAAAGGCATGTACTGATGCCAATAAACAATAGAGTATACCACAGCCATATGAAAAAAAAAGCTCCCGAGTAACATAAATAGTACGATGACAGAACTCGAATCATGAACAAAATTCAGAATGGCAGGCACCATGCAACCGTAGGGAAGGTACCCCAAACACCACCAAAACGCCTCAACGCCCATTACGATAGGCCCTGAAAAACACGAGAAAAATCTATTTACGTCATAAAGAAAGTTACAAAAACACAAAATCGAGCACGAGACTATGAACAAGCACAATCGGAAATTTGGAGCGGGCAACTTTTCACATAAAATCACCACTTCAAAGTCTAAAAAGAAGCAGTATCTCGTCTCCAAAGAGTATCAGTAAAGTAATCGTGGCATTGATCTGACACTCAAGCAAAAAAGCACCATATAAAGCTACTCATCTTTTCTTTCGTGAGTATGGTTAACCAAGAAGTTTAGTAAATATCTTCACAACTGTAAAATGTCAAATCTGCAGAAAGGTAGTGGCCAGAAATGACCAAGGGAATGTTGAAGTAACTCTTCATAAGTGAGACAGGAATAGATCTGTAACTGACTCCACTCTATTAATAAGACTGAAATGTGATTACAAGTTTACAACTCAAATATCAAAGTGCAACAACTTAGTAGCAGAATCACAATAGAAATAGCTGGAAGTAAAGTAACTACGGTTAGATAGAAGAAGTGGATAAGAAGATTAGACTTAAATAACGGGAGACGAGGAGAAACGGACACCTTTCTCAACAATATGCCTCATCCAAAAATAACCGACCAGTCCCCCTTTTAACAGAACCATCCTTGCATCATAAACTCAACCTGGATCCCAAATTAACCTGACCGTATTACTTGTTTTCGGCCACAAAGCTCTTCTCAGCAGTCAGCCTAATAGCTACTTGTGAGACATTAGGCTAGGGCTGGTTCATAACAAAAAAGAGTTCGGTTCTTCTTAGTTCGTTTGGACGGGTTCGACCAGAAAAGCTATACTTACAGAAACTTTTTCATAAAAGAACTTCAAAGGAAATCCTATGACCAAATGGGAGTGAGCAGCACCACGCACAAACTTATGCACTATTATTACCTCCCCTTCAAATAAAATCTCATAAATTTGTGACAAGACTATAACAGACTGACTACATTATCAAACTTATGCATTCCTCAATTGCCAGATCTTCACTTAGCAGTATTCCCACTCACGTTATGCATTACATCTCTGAAAGAGCATAACCAAGATTATTAATAGAACCAAAAGTAACTTCCTCTGTGGTTCTACTGATACAAAGAAGAAAAAGATACACCTCTTAAATTCCGACATTGTCACGAAGCATAAGAATGTTGGTGGCCTTGGCCTCCAAGAAGCTTATGGTAAATGGAAAAAAACAAGCTTTACATGCGAGCCTACTTGGATAATATTTAAAATTCCTACTGCTTTTTTGGGCTATCATTCTTAACAAAAAATTATAGCAGGCCAAACACCATGTCCACAAGGGTTGCTTCAACCATTAATTTTGGGGACCTGGAAAAACATCCTACATGGCTGGGAATTACGCAAAAGTCAACTATGTCGCGCAAACTGGAATTTGGAACCTCAATGACATATCCTTTGCATTCCCAAGTTCTTTTACCAACATATAATCAGCATTCACATAATTCCTGCAATCCCTATATGGTCTCTGACCTCAAGTCTTCTACAGATCGATAAGACTTGTATCTATCTGTTCGTATGTGATAAACTGCTAGGTTGAACCTTATAATATCAATCTTTAGGAAAGAGACTTACTACCACCATTTGGTGGACCACCCATTGAAGACGGCCATGCCCACCTAAACTTCTTAACAAATGAAATCGCAGTCTTCAAGCTCTGCCAGCACTTCTGAGAGGAAACCGTCCAAGTGCAGAGGAATAAGCCACGAGGAGAGGCACACAGAGGAAGAACTTCACCCATCTAGCTGCAGATAGATAGACACATACATTTAATCATAAATTTTTTATTTATATTGATACAAGTTTTGCCAATCTTACATTAAAGAGATATAAGGTTCACTAGAAAGGGATAAAATTAAGGAGAAGGATACGCTGGAGAACCTGTTAACAGGATTTCACTTCTTCTCGTAAAGTTCACAGCTGCAACGAAACAAAAACAAACAAAAATATAGAGAAGAATAAATGAGAGGGATAATTGGAAACAAAAGTATATAGCTACATTTTGTGCTTCAACAAACAAATCCCACAAAAAAAAAAAGCAACTAAGCAAAGATTAAATAAAACACTCATGGCAGCATCAAGATTTAAGAATCAATCAAGTTCACCCGTCAAAATCAAAACTTTATCAATTTCTTGGAAATCATCCCATCTAATTCCAGGAACCCAAAATACTTATCAAACTCGAATGATGATAATATTAGCTGATAATACATTCACAATTCAGTTAGAGATTTATGATCCAAAATCAACTTCAGAAGCAATCAATCAATCATATGAGCAAATTAAGGGGAAAACGGCACCAAACAACTACAAGCCACTACCTTAATTAAATAAATTTTGCAGAAACATTATAGATTAGTCAAAAATTGTAAGTCTATGTCATAAAGGCCAGGCAATGCAGCCCGATGCACGAAGCATCCCGTGTTTACGAAGGGTCCGAGGAAGGACCGCATATGATGTAAGCAGTCTACCGTTATGCAAGCACGAGTGGTTGATTCCACGGCTCAACCAGTAACCTATAAGTCACACTAAAACAAACTATAACGTTGCTCCAAGGATCTCCTTCAATGTCATAACGAATGAAATAATAGTTTTAAAAAAAGTAGTAATCCAAAAATATATTATAGCAGAGCAGGATCATCCCAAGTTCAAAATAGAAAAAAGTTCCAAACTTTGGAACCAAAGATTGGATTTTTATAATTATTTTTACAGAATTTATGTTGGTTAAGAGTTTAAAGGCTGAAAATTTGCTTCGACAAACGCAAAGGAGGAGGAACAAATAGAAATTGCAGGCCCCAATTTTATGTTTGTTTTAGGGTTCAAAGACTGAAATTTTTGCTTAGACAAAAAACAAAAATTATAGAAATTGCAAAAATAAATACTATATTGAATTAGTTTACCCGTGTCCTGGAGGAAACGATCCAAACCCAGCAACAGTTGAAGTGAAGACAAATGGGTTTCTTTCTAGGGTTAAAATAAGAACAAAAGGAAGAGATGATTTTCTTTTCCTTTTTTTTCTGTGATAAGGTATCCGTAGGGGGGGGGAGGGAGAGATTGTAGCAGTGTGGGATTTGGATTACGGTATCATCTGCCCTCTACTATCATCAATAATTCAAAAAGGCCCGCGCAACTTTCAAACCAACTTTCAAACCAAAGGTGTTTAACGGGCAAGCTAGGATGGACTGAACAAAAAAAAAGCCAACTCGTTTGTTAACGGATCAGGTTGGAAGCGGGCTGGGGATAGCGGCCTAATAGCGGGTTGGGAATTTGCGGGTTTTTGTGGGCCCGTTCGAGTTCGGGCTTAACGGGCTCGGGCACGCTGTGCTAATTTTATTTTTTAATTAAATTTTGTTAGCAACGACACAAATTAGAATAACCATTCTCTCTCCTCGAACGCTCCATTCTCCATTCTCATAACGGTAACATCCACCTTCTCAGGCAACCCACCGGCAAACCAGTGCCGCCGGCTACTGCCCAGGTAAGTACCAGTCCTCTTTCTCTCTCCTCTCTCTCCCCCTGCATCCCTCTTTCTCTCTCTCCATTCTTTCTCCTTTCTTTCTCCTCGTATGCCTTTCCTTCTTCCTCTGTCTTTAACCCCTATCAGTAGCTACGCCGGCGTCCGGCGACCCACCAGCGCCATTTCATCTTCTTTCAGCTGCTCCGACCCCACCAGACCACTCTCCTCTGTGTTTCCCTCCCTTCCTTCAAACCTTTCTCGGACCGGCTCTGTTTCCGGCGACTGTTCCGGTGGCAGTACCCACCCTTTCTTGGTCCCATGGTGTGTTTTGTGTGTTTCAGGTAGCAGGACAAGCCAGTTGGTCGACACAGGCGTGAGGCATACGGTGAGTAGAACGGAGCATCACTGGACGCATCAGGTCATATTTCCAGATTTCCAGCAGGGTATATATTTTCTGGCAACTCCCGAACAGTTTCCAGTCACGACGTAGAAGGAGCTGCCTAAGTTTTAACAACCAACGATAGAAGTTGGACGCAAACGAGCTAAGTGGACGTAATACAGTCGAGCATTATCAAGACAAACTCCAGGTTATTCCCATGAGAATAGGTACCTCCTGTTCGCCTATTTACCTTTATTTTGTTAGTAAAATTGTTTCCTGTTTAGTTCTTATTAGTTTAGTTTTCGGATTAGGGCGCCTCTAGTGGAATCTTGTCTTATTCTAGCTTGTTTTGTGGTGTCTGTTAGGGACTCCCACTAGCTATAGTGGCTGCAGTTTCGGATGGTCAAGTGAGTTCATGTCCTCGGGGCGTGCGGGGGGTAGGTCGGGAGGTAGG